TTAATTGTCATGTTAAGGAAGTTGTTAGAGGATGAAGCTTCTTTTTAGGGACGGCCATTAGTTCCATAGACCCATTGAAGAAAGTTATATCTTGGAATCTGTAAGCAATGTTCCCTTCAATCGTTTCCTGATTTGCAGATTGGGCCTTTATTGGCGCTATGGGATTGCCGAAGATGATGCTGTCCATTGGAATTGGTTGTGCAATGGCGTGAGCAAAGTTATGGAAGCCGGATGTGGGTCCTACGTTTTTTCCGTTGTCCCAGCAGCTCAATAGTGTGGCTACCCTGAAAGCCATATCCCTACAGCTTGCACTTCAAGTCCACACTCTCTGCAAATAGGATGAACATCATTTCTTTAGTTGATTTGAGACTCAACAGGTGTGAAAGTGAAATATATATCGAAACACTCCCTTTGAACCATACTAAACTTCGCATTTTTTTCACGGAGTTTAACAGAAGTTGAAAAAAAAAGTGAATATGTACGCAGAGAAGAGAAAAATAATGTCCAGTCAATGCTTTCCTTAAATAGAATGGGAACTTTATTTTAGGACAAACGAAAAAAGAAAGTAAATTTTTTTTGGGAGTATAAGCAAAACATAAACATCACTACAAAACAAAGATTCAAACTTTAGCCTCCTGGTTTTGAAGACCAGTCTTTAGAGAGTATGTAAATATCAAAAATGGACAGGCACACAGCCAAGAATATGAAGCCTACTGCTGTTTTCTTAACCACAATGAATTCAAAACCAGATTGATGATTTGAGGCCCCAAAAAACAAAAGATAGACCGAGTTTAATAACAAGAACACCATACCAGTAAAATCACACAAACGGGGTCGGGGATGGGAGTATGCATACCTTACTGCATGAAATTTTCACACCTCTTTGATCAACCTTGCCTAGCTAATCTCAGCATTAGAATGCGCAGACTACGAACAAACAACAGAGGGTTAGATTGATACACACAGCAAAGATATGAAATTTAGTGTATCCATCAACCATGCACGAGAGATATCAGATTTGGTATATCCATCAATCATGCAAGGGAGATATCAAATTCAGTGTATCCATCAATAATTGGGAAAAAAAGTTTGAAATTTGGGAAAAAGTAACAAACCTAATTTTTTTCGTAGCGTATCACTCAATCCAGTAAAACAAGAAAGTTCAACTCACTAATATGATGATAAAGTTCATGATTGGTTTAGTTTAAATCCATGAGAGAGTGCAATTATAGAAATTAAGAAACGATCTTAGTGACTCACAAGTACTGTAACAATGTGCGAAGAAGATCAGAGACCATAACAGCATTTTACATCTATGGGAATCAGAGAGCCTAGTGATGCAAAACACCCAGTAATTGAGTATCCATTGAAATACCAACCTGTTAATCAATCAAAGGAAGTTAAACCTCAAAAAGGTTGCATAACAAATATCTTTGTTCTATTGTTTATTTGTTTGGATTTTTTTTCTTTGGAATTATTAA